ACGAAACGATACGAGAAATGCTGCAAGAGTGATGACTTTCCCCTACCATTCTGACAACTTCGTACTTGTAGAGGCAGTGCCTAGATGATAGGGGTGGAAATCTCCATTGAGAGAGAGAGAGAGAGCTGGTAACTTGTTTGTTGAGCACGTTTGCGGACTTGATGATTTGTCAGCAGATTGGAGTACAAGGCACCACTTTCAGTTGGCAGCTTTTCTTGATCTTACTGTTAAAAAAAGCGACTCCACTGGAGATTTGCGTGCCTTAGATGTTTAATCTTGGCACTCATTGCCATTGTGTGTGCAGGAGTAGGTGGAGACGCTGATAGCAGTACAGGGGAGGAGGGGTAAATCATCGCAAGTCACGTCATATCTTTGCCGTGATTCCCTTTTTTTAAAAATGCAAATCCATTCTCCCCCTCCTCCTCTTTCCACTTATTTCCCTTCTAACCTTTCTCCCCATTCTTTTTTACAGTGACTCTCTTCCACGATGTTCAGCCACCCTAAAAGTTGGCGGGATTAATTCGGCTGCTGAGAGTCATACGAAGCCTTAAAAGATCTCAGCCCTTAATCAGACACTCAGCTACAGCGACAGCGATAGAGAGATGCGGTTTGAGACAGGGACAGGTAGGGTCAAAAGTAACCCATTTACACTGCTGATTGACTATTTTACTGACATCCAGCCACTAAGCGTGTTTGCTCAAGACGGAAATTTAAAGCACTCCACCCTGGCCCTTTGAGGAAGTTGTCGTACTCAGTCGATGCATTGACACAACTTTCAGCCGATCCAACTAAACATTTGTGTCTTACTGAGTGGGCTTTTCCGTTCGTATCAGGTGGTGAGCCAAACAGAAGGCAAATAAAACTTGCTCGATAAACTTGCTATTTCAGATGAGACTCATGCAGCAATACTCAATGCTGCCGACGCTGGTGGGGGCAAATAAGAAGAGGCGAGGCATGAGGGACGTGGAGGGCTAACTCGTGTATTCGTGCTGTATTCTTACCTTATCGCCACCTTTTGCCTCTACTCACCTCTCGTCATCTCGTCTAGTCTCTTCTCCCATCTCAGCTTAATCCCTTCAGTGCAGCGGAATCTACTGCATATTACACACTACTTACTGTTAACAAGTAGTAAATGGTGGATGTTGGTGCACGGTACCGGAATAGGTTTTAAGGCAGTATTGCACACCACCGTCTCAAAAAGCCCTTCTGATAGAACTGTGACATGGAGGCATGGAAGCATTGACAGCGGCAGTAACGAAGATGGTTTCAGCTTATCTCCTTTCTGCTCAACGGCATATATGTGTAGCATTCACAATGCATGAGCACTGCGGAGTGGAGGTAATGATGATGTGTACATCTCCTAGCCGGACTCATGGAAATGTGCATCTTTACGTAAAGGAGACTCAATTAGTCTGTTGTTGTCCTTCGGCGAAATTGTGCAAACTACGCCATGAATGGAGTAGAACCGAGTACACAAATAAGGGATGAAAGGCAAAGAGCTACGTCTTGATTGTTTACAGGTGATTAGAAGAGTTTATATTAATTTACACTTTGACTAACGCCACTCCACAAATGGGCTGTAAGTTTAGAGTTACCTAGAATAGACTTAACACTCCCACCTTCATACCACTGCAATTCTGGTTAGTCATCGTACACGGCTCCAAGGGATAAAGAACAATATCTTAAAGATGGTGGGCGCTTGCTGATTCCTTACTTCTTGCTGGCTCCACTATAGCCCACATTATAGGACCGCCTTCTGTCATTATGGTGCAGATAGTATGGCATTAGAAAATCAGGTACAATCTTTGTACTGATTGTTTGATATTCCAGGTGATCCTTTTCGATTATTCTTTGCATCGCTTGCTCCTGCAGGTGTCGGTCTTCGCAAGTAAAGCACATTCGTGATTTTTTTTTATTAATAGCGGTTGTTTGCCCTCACATTCCTTTTCTTGCTCTGTGGATTCGCTTATCTAGAATGCCGCTGAATGGTGGTGAGGAGAACAGGCTGTGAACGCGATCACTGCCAAAACGCGAGGTGTCATGGTGCAACCAAGTAGCGTTGTTGGAGAAAAATGGAATTTCAGTAATATGGTAGGAGGCCGAATTTGTTGTGTGAAGCAATCAGGCATAAAGATAATCCACTAATGACCAGGTCCCTCGCGTAGGTGCTCTCAAAGCAAAACAAGTTTACCAAACTCATGTAGCCAAGAAAATTCGGACTCTACTAGCCTTGATGTGTTTGAATACAGCGTGACAGCTGACAGTGACCATGATTATGCGAATTTTACAGGAAGGTGTTCATATCATTTGAATTAGTGGTTTTCATGGAGAGATATTTCCTCGATGGGGAAGGAGCCCTCTTTCTTGGCAGTATTTCAGAGTAGTCCTAAAAATAAAAGATTATTTGGCTTTTTTTCTATATTAGAAGAAAAGCACTATAAAAGTGACCTTTTAAGTCAGTAAAGAAAATTACTTCCTACTTTAAGGTGCACAGGGCAGACTGCGAAGCCTGTCTATCCGAATAGTTGGTCTTACTCTTTTTTATAATTTTCGAACGAATGATGATAAATTCCAGACCTGAAAACACAAATCATAGTGGTGGACGACATTTTGATGTAAATTTGTTTTTAGACGTTGATAACTTTTTCCTGTTACCTCTTGTGCGTAATTCGTACTGCGTTTCTTGAGTTTTCTCTCTCCTCATTCACCGCGGTAGTGACGAATTGCGAGTTCAAACAACGATGTGGACTTTTTATTCACTTCTCAAACAAAATGAAATAAGCAAATGCAGACTACTGCATTGAATTGAAAAAAATTAATCTGACAAAAGTAAAACTTCAGTGCGAAGGAGAGTGAGAGAGTGACACAGGCTAGTTACGAAGATGTAGAGTAACAGTGAGGATTTTGAGTGCAAAAACAGTGTGTTACGTTTAGCTGGTTTGTTTAACTTTGCGTTTCAGTTACGTAGTTACTTGAGGCTCCGCCATTAAAAATTTCACTCTTTAGCATGTCCCCTGAGCCATATCGGTAGCTTCACAGCCTCCTGTAGGTAAAAAAACCTTTCTCTGCCCTCGTACCATGGCTTCTGGCGACTTCAGGTAAGATTCGTAGCACTATAAGTAACATGGAAAAGGGGATTTGTTTTCCAAATGAGAAGTTTTCGGATGACATGAACTTCTAAGTAGGTTATTCAAAGGCCGCTCTGATGCTAGAGGACCAGGATACATATTAAGCTTTCTGAGTCCCGTGGATCATTATTTCACCCTTGTTGATGTACTACCATGGTTTTAGAGTGAATATTTAACTGTTTAATTTTCTAGTGTAACGGATCTTAGAGAAAAAACGGATTTCTGAGTTCTTCCAATTAGAAGAGTTGCTGAAGTCACGACAGATTTTAGCAACTGACTAAGCTTAAGATCTGAAACAGAATGAGTAATAGGAACAAACCCTCCTTGAAAGGTGGGTGAACATAAAATTTTATAAATATGGAGTTAAGAGTTAAACTGAGGGAGGTGCTCTGAATACTCCTAAGCAAGTGGTGAAACCTCTTAAAATGGAAGGGGGCTACAAAGCCAGAATGAAATGAGGGTATGGATCTGTAAATTTAGGTTTTCCCTACAGGAAAATTTCTAACGAACTGTCGCTGATTTGGCCTTTGAAAGTAGCAAGATAAGCACAACTGTGAACACCTCTGTGCTTTCATTAGGTACTCGGAGAGGTGTCTCGGCATCAACCAAATGGTTAGACTACCACTTCAGTCCGAACGTAGTAGGTCAAAAAGAAGTGAAGGCAACTAAGGTGATACTAAATTTCAGCACCGAGAAATGAAAAACTGAGAGGTGATAGCAATTAATATCATTATTGTCTCTGGCTCTATAGTGAGGACAAAATGAAGGGGTAATTGAAGAAGAGCCTATATGAGGAGTTTATAATCCCCACTATTCCCTTTCAAGCCGTTATTTTAAAGAATCGCCAATTCCTGATCCATACTAAGCTGTCTACTAATGTGTTGAATGGAAAGTAAAGCCCTCAATCTTCGACTTATTCACTTCAAACCGCTTCTTTAGTGCTTTTTAGAGCAATCACAACGGTTTCTAATACGACTGAGTTCCCATCTGTATTTGCTCTTTTCTTGAAAAATTCAAATTTGCACCAGAATACAGCTATTAAAAGTTTGTTCTCCTGACAAAAGAAACAAATAGCGGACCGCATCAGTGGTTGCCCATAGGACACGTCGGCATGGTAGCTTCGACTACATCACATGGCCGACCTTAATACGCACACACGAGCTCTTGCTCGGATGAAGCGTTTTAGAGTAAGAGTAACAGACCTAAACTTGACCTATGTTATTGTGTTTAAAGGAGGGTGCGTGATAATCTCGAAAAAAGGCGAATTTACAAATGATCGGTTAACAGATCTATCCTGAGAGCCAAATTAATCTACTTCCTCCAGACGGGCAAGCGCCTTTTCTGGTCTCCTTTCCAAAAAAAAACCTGGACGCAAGCAAGGTCTATAAAGTAAGGCGTTGCATATAATGCGGCTAATACGAAATTCTCTTGAACTATCAAAATTGTTGGTCATCGTGATGCACTTGCCAATACACTCACAGGCACTTACAACTTTCGAACTAAGTGGCTTTGAGATGTGAGAGCTGCACATTTTACTTGCGGCCTCAGTGGAAATGAATGCCTCTTCGTCCAAGGAAGTGGAATTCTTGAGGTGGTTGGGTTAGCGTCTACTCAGGTTGATAGCAGGGATGGTGATAACGACACTTTGTTAATTTATTTAGTAGTCTGATATTGAGAAGGAAATATAGGCGAAATTTGTCGCGAAAAGTGGGAAACGAATTTGCAAACTTCATGCAACAAGTAAATGTTTGGAAAAGGATAACACTACGATCAATTTCGCCAGAAAGGAGACGCGACCATGGTCCGTCTTAAGAGACCCCATTCCGCCGACTTGAACACTTTAGGTCACCTAATAGAGGGGTGGATACGATCGCTTTTAATTCATGACCGCATTTTCTTTGCACTTGCTAGCTGTTAAGGTGTATTACTTTGCCTTTCACTTCTCATTTGTGCACTCAATTCCACTCAATTCGTTCCGTGTTTTGTTCGAAATTCTGCCTTGTTCCAAAAGGGCACCAACAGACTGACTAGCGCTCCTCCTCTTAGATATGCACGTTTGCATCCGTTCGACTAAAAGCCTCGGTTGTCGCTTATACATATCCCATTTTATAGAAAAGAGATTAGTTGAAATGTTGCTTTTTACTGTCATTGGCATTACGAGTGCGTCATAGTTCCACGTCAAAATTTCACTAACATATGGCTGAAGTTCATGACTCCGGTTTCCTCCGAAACATTTCCTAGAACCATGTATCACCATACACCAACGACCACGAACTCCGTAGAACGTGCAAAGGGCATGAAGAGTGATTGGTATTCCGTGGCTTCGTAACGTGGAGTATGAATGAGTGCGAGAGAGACTCGGTGAGGCGATGAGGTAAGAAGGCAATACAAATAGACTTGCCGCTTCCCTACCTTCTCCATGCCTCGCTTCTTCTCATGCGTCTCTGCCAACGTCGGGAGCATTCGGTGTATCTGCGTGATTGGGCATCTTTGCTTACCTCCTGTTTGACCCACCACCTGATTTGCACAAGAAAACCTATTTAATAAGGCATAAATGCAGAGCTCGATCGGCTGAAAGATTCTTTAATACATCGATTATGCATGACTACATCAACAAAGTGTCTGGGTAGGAATGCTTTTCATGGCAGAAGTGGACAAACCGACTTCATGATGAATTGTCACGTGTCTGTGAAACAGTCGATAAAGGGCTAAATGAGTGACTTCATCCTCGACCCTACGCATCCATCTCGGATCGATGCTAGATGACTAGTCGAGGAGTGCGACCCTTTGAGGCCCTCGCCTTACTCCCTTTGTCAAACAAAGCTAGACAGCTCTTGAGACGACTAATATGCTGGAAGAAAATGGGAGCAAGAGTAGGAAGAAGGAGAGAAGAGGACAGAAGAAAGAGTACAAATTTGCTTATTTGACGAAATTAAACGAGCGCAAAAGATTGACGTTTCA